CCATGGGTGTCCAGCAACTGTTTCATTGTTTCTTTTCAACCAAAAACCAGTCAAGTGCTGCTGGGAGCTCCCAGGACTTAGGGCCATTCAGTGACCAGACTACAGAACTTCTCGCTGGCCATACATTTCCTGCATCTTTGTATTCTCTCTGCCTTAGAACTTGATTTCATTCTAATTCTGGTCTTTACTGAAAAATTCTCCTCTCCAAGAATCTTCAGGCATCTTAGTGACCCCCTTGTTCTCTTCAGGATCTTGCCTCCCACAGCCAAATGGTGCTCCCAACAGTGTTTTTGGTGACCTTGGCTAGGGCTGGGTCCTGGCTTATTTCTGGAGCTCCGGGTTTGACAGAGCTCAGGGAGGTGAAAGGAAATCGTGCAGTGGAGCCAAGGGGCTTTGAGAAAGATGTCTTTGATGTAGGCACTAATGAATTTCTAAGTGAGCTTCTATGCACAGCTGTGATAAAACTCTCCAGGGATAAGGTCACCCTCACCTTTGCAGCTCCAAATATAAGATGTCTAGCAAAAAAAGAAAAAAGCAAGAAAAAAATGGGGAAAAAAATGTCATATAGCGCCAACATGAAAAGATTAAACACTGGACAAGTTTCAGTGTTAAGTTTATGAAGTTTAAGACTTGCAGAAGAACCATCTCAGAGCATATTTATTAGGGTCAATCTGCCAACTATTTTGTCAGTGTCACTGATATGCAGACTTCAAAGAGCAATTGGAAATGGAAAGAAAAGCAATTAAAGGAATAGTATAAGTGGGTAAGAACATAAATGTTTGAGTCCAACAGCTTGGACAAATCCTACTTTGGACAAACCCTACTTACTAGATGTGTGACTTTAAGCAGTTTGCCTAAACTCTTTGTGCCTCATTGTTCTGATCTATAAAATGGAGACAGTAATAGTACCTGGCTCACTTAGAGGTGTTTATGAGATGAAATGAATTCATCCTTGCCTTTGCCTAATGGCAAACACACAGTGAGTCTTAAGTAAATGTGTGTTTATCATTGCTACATCAAGTTGCTGAAGGGAAGAAAAAAAAACAGAAATATTCCCCCTTGATAGTTTTTGTAAAGTAGAGCATCAGAGTGTAACTCTAACACCGCAGGAAAACTAATCTTTGGGCAAGGGACAACTTTAAAAGTAGAGCCAGGTAGGTTTCAGTTCATCTTTGCTTTTACAACTTTTAACCAAAGACTCCTGCTTTTTGCTTGTTTATCTTCTTTTTACAAAAGATAATGAGAAAATGTATAAAGAATATGTATAAAATGTTTTTCTCGCCCGTTTGGTTTCAGCAAGTGTCAAAAAGAGGGAAAGACTCAAGTTAGCTGGGTTTCTGCAGAAGGTTGGGTGACTTTAAGCTTGGCTGACTTGGGAGAAATAAAAGAAAATGTCAAACACAGGTAGTTTATGAAAAAAGGCATTTTGCAGAGTCTGTGTAGGATAGTAAAGATGGAGCCAGCCCTATGACAACAGAATTCTGCATGCCTTGTTTTTCATGGCAAAAGAGGTCACGTGGAAATGGCAAGTTTTTGTTTGCGATAAAAGAATGCCAAGAGTGGAGAAAGAGGACTGTTGGTTATTTTGGTTGCTTTTGAAGAAGCATGGAGGAATGTGCTTTTCATCGGATGATTTCTAGGAGGTTATCACCATGTGGGAGTCAAAATGTCTGTAGCGTACATCTGGAATCCCCACAGAGGAAGAAAATAGAGCAAAACAGAAAAGCATTTTTGTACTAGGCAGAAACACTGTGCCAGTTTCTGGGGGAAAAGATGTCATCTTTGGGACTGGAACAAAGCTGACGGTGTTTCCCTGTAAGTCCTTTGCCATTTGAGAAAAAAAGCCCTTAATCTGTAATGACCAGCTCTCACGTCCCACACACCTAATGAATTTCTAAATGAGCTTCCGTGTGTTAACCTGATAAGACTCTCCAGGGACAAGGTCACCGTTACCTCTGCGGCTAGCAGCGTGAGGCAGGTGTTGTAAGGAAAATCAGCCAGTGTTAGCTGCAGTGCCAAAATCAAGAGAGAGAGTGCAAGAATTGAACCAGTCTGGAAGTGAAGTTTATATAACATCAACTATCCAGAAGAGCCATCTTGGGGTATAGTTATTAGCCTGCGTCTATTCTGCACAATGGTCCAGTTAATTTGATTAATATCTGTAGCTGGTCCAGATACATAGGCAGCTCCTGGAGAAAACTTCTTTGTGCTCCAAATTGCTTGAATTGACTGTCACATTACCTAAATAATTACCAAATCTGTTTTACTTTGTGCCGTATAGATTCAGCCTAATAAAAACAAATGCTGTTGTATTTTTCCCCCGGTCTGTCTCCTCTCCACACGGAAAGTTTCCCTTCTATTAAACAGCCTCTCAGCACACAAAAAGAGGAGACCCAGCGAGCTATTTGACTTATGGCTGCTGCTGTTTTGCATTTATATGACTCCTTTCCCTGAAAGAGATTAAGACACTTTATACGACTTATTAGCTAAACAGATTGACAGCCTAATTAGGAAGAGAGAAACAGATTCTGTGTATCTTCTCATGGCTGCTGTTCCCACCCACTCATACAGAACATTGGTCATATGGCTTTACGGAGACAGAAATAAGGCGCGGAGGTGGCCGTCTGTGTTTGTAGCTGTGGGGTCTTCTCAGCTGCAGGCGAGAGGTTCTCACAGGAGGGCAGAATGACACTAAATAGGTCAGGGCAACTGACAGAGCCACAAGAATTGCTTTCCCCTGAAACTCGTGTGTACTTCCAAAAGCTCAGCATGACCAATATTGGTGTCAGCAGTTAGTGTGCATCTACTCGTCTGATTTCTGTTTTCAGAACCTTGAACTCCACCTGTTAATTCTTCCATCCCTAACTCTTGTATACAACCTGTTTCTCTTGCCTTTGAATTCCTGATCACCATGCTTATCCCTAGCACCAGCACCCTTGCTTCCACAGCCCACGGCGGCTGCCTGCCTCTTTTGCCAGCCAGCAGTAATTCTGAGAAGTTTGTTAGCTCTTTGCACGATGCTCAAATGATGCAGGGAACTGGGGAATTCTCACTGCTTGTGGGTCCCAGCAGAACCTCTGCAGAAGTGCAGGTGGCCACCAGGGACAAATGAACGCCTGAATGAGGACTGGAGCTGGGCTCAGGACAGGGAAGAGCTCACAAGCAATGAGGAATAAGCCTGGTTTTCATGATGCCTGTGTCCGCATCTTCTCCCATGCCTGAGAACCCTGGGTTTCTACCCTGCCACTCAAGCTGGGTGACTGTGAAGAGGTGGCACGGTTTTTGTAGTCGAGTCAGTCACTGTGGACAGACAGGCGTGAATGTGCTGCACTTTGGATCCGGCACTCAAGTGACTGTGCAACCACGTAAGTGCATCCTTTCTCATTTCTAAGGGCTAACATGTCTGTGAATTGCACAGAGGAATGCATGCACACACACACACACACACACACACACACAGTACACATTTTTCTAGCTAGTCACTGATGGAATGAAATCTTTGAATCTACTTACATACTCAGTTTGACAATTAAGATGGTCAAATTCATTTAGTGTTTGCCAACAGCCCAGGGGAATCAGCACATCAAGGGAACTTAAGCTGTGCTCGGTCACCACAGGGATGACGACAGTCAGATTTGGCTGTGGGTCTCAGAATCCAGCAGACCTTTTCCATGCAGATTTCTACTGACAGATTAAGCGGTTTTATCTGCTAACTTGCTGATGGAGAAACACACAGACATATACATTCACCTTCAGTTTTCACTAAGACAGCTTTTCTGTTAGCTATTTTGACAATGAACGCCAGTTAACCGGTTCCCTGCTATCCATGTTAATAATATCTCGAACAATCACCTTTCTTCGCTGTTATTCACCGTTCCTTTCAATGCCATAACCCACAGCATCACCAGCAGATCTTTTGTCGTTGTAACATTCTCTAATAAGGTGAGCAGGGTCACTCATCATCAGACACGTTTCAAAGTACACAAAAGCTGAAGCACAGACAAGTCATGTAAACCAAATCTGTGTGTGTGTGTGTGTGTGTGTGTGTGTGTATGTGTGTTTTCTTCTGGCAAATTCCCTGGAGCTGACACTTGGTGAATTGAAAGCATAATAAGAAAAAAACCATAGTAAGTACAGGTTATAGACATTTTCATGAGATGAATCTCAACAGCGGCAACAAAAAAAAATCCCTGGCTATTGGATGGCACTAGTGTTTTGATTAGATCCCCCAAATCTTCTTTGTCCCTGGCTCTCATTCAGTGCCAGGGCTAAGAAAAAGAGCCAAGGGGCAAAGGAGGTTTTTGTAGACCTCCGTGCCACTGTGTACTCCAATGCAGACAAGCTCACCTTTGGGACTGGGACCAGATTAGAAGTATTTCCAAGTAAGTACTAGACATCAAGGGGCAATTTTGAAAAATTGTTGGTTTCTAGAAAAGGTCGAGGCCTGTTGGTGCATTTGCCCAGATTGGCCACCCTCAAACAGGTGGGGTTCTGCCAGAGCTTTCTCCATTCCTCACTACCAGGCTACCTGTCTCCCAGGATGGCATTCCACACAGAATCAAACCCATTTAATATCTGTATGAACATGCTGCCACTACCTACAATCTTAGCAGCAGTGAAAATAAGGACACTAGAGAACTGGATGTGTTATGACTCCCAACAAATGATGTATTTCTCTCTTTTACATTTTTATTTAAAATATGAAGAAAGGTGCTGCAAGTTCAACCTCAATTTGAAAACTGTTTATGAATTACATTTTCCTTATAGGCAGAGAGACCGAGATTGACTTTGGATGTTTAGTCATTTGATTTCATCAACTGTGTCTGGAATCTATAATGGGCAAGGGACTCAAATGTAATTAAATGAGCAAATAATCTTCAATCGTCAATATTCCTACATTGTTTTATGTGTACTGCTCTGGAGTTTTTATCTGGGCTTTACCTCTAACACGATCCCCAGAGGGACAGGGAAGGTTTTTGTTAAGGTTTTTGTGTCTGTGGGAATAACAACTATCAGTTCATCTGGGGCTCTGGGACCAAGCTAATTATAAAGCCAGGTAAGTCACAGGGATGTGACTGTTAAGGGAGAGCAGATACTGGCTGAATAATGTACAAAGTGTCACATGTAAATTGTATTTTGAAAAACAATGCAGAGCCTGTTGCGATATCCTTGACCTAAATGGAATATTCCCTCTCTTGTTGGGTCCCATTGCCTCAGGAGTGAATGGCGTTTAGCCCTCAAAGGGAGCAGAGCTGGGTTTTTGGGAAGTGTCTGATTCCCTGTGACATGGTTAGAAGTCTTGTTCAAGGATAGAATCAGCCTCTTTCCGCTGGAAGAACAAATTCAAAGAGAAGGCAAAGGATTCCAGCCACAGACCTATGTCTGCACCTTTCCTGACAGCCTAGGCTTGGCCTGCTGCCCTGCATGGAGAGCAGATGATAATGAAGCTCTCAGTGACTTGCTGGTGAATCACCCAAGGTTCTAGGCTTTGACACAAATTCCATCAGACAGTGACAAATCCTAGCAGAGACACATCAGGGGAATAGGAAGGCTGCAGGATGCCCGGAAAAGGCAGAGATTGACTTCTGCAAGGGTGGGACTGATGAATTCCTCACCCTGGCCTTCCATGGCCTTGCCTGAGGGTTCTTGTAAGACTCTGAAGGGCTGTGTGAATACAGGTGCTGGAAACAGATTCACCTTTGGGACTGGCACTCTGCTCTCTGTCAAGCCAAGTACGTGAGTAGTGAGACTTGTCGGGTAGATTCCAGATCCGTGGCAAGTGGGAGCTAACAGCCACACTTGGGTGACAAGGAAGACTGAAGGCTAGGTTTGTTCCCTGCTGTCATCCCTTATCTGCCATTATATGGCAGGGTCTCAGTATTTCCCATTGTCTTAGATAGCACTTGAGTCAGGGAAGGGGAACTGGTGTCCATTTTAAGATAAACTCTAGGAGAAAATATTTAACTGTGGGAAAAGTGTTCTTTGAGTGTTGCAGGTTTTTGCTCCTGTAGATCCATTTATCAGCTCTGATCACATCCTTATCTGTGTAGATACAACCTCCACTAACCTGATTATACAATTCTGTGTTAACTGCTGCAAACACCTTCTACAAATCCTATCATATTTATCTTACAAAAGAGACCCCAGAGCCATGCTGGATGACTTGCTGGGGGTAGAGGTAGGTAAGAGGAGGCTTAGATGGATTGGTTTACCATTAGAACCATGAGTCATGGAGCACTTTCCTATGTTCCTTTTATTTACTTCCCTTTCATTGTCTCAAAGTCTACATCCTTTTGGTGTCTTCTGGCCATCTTCTGCTGCCAAGCCAAGAGGAAAGAAGTCAATTTTGAATCCTTCCTCTTCAAATCTGAAGAATCAACAAGTCATGGCCATGTCAGGGGTGACAGCAAGTCTCCTTTTTTTCCTTCAAATTTGAAACTCTGTCACTCGAATCCAACTTTTAACCCTGAAAGTTTAGTGACACAAGATCTGTGATGTTCACTTATCCATAGCTATTTGGTGTGTATTGCAGCCTGGCCAATGCTCAGATTCATGATAAAGAAGCTTTTGAATACCCTTATCCTTCTCCTCAGTATACAGTCTTTTGTATGACAGAAAACATTCACTTCTTCCTTATATTTCAGAACTGGAGTTTCTCAAGGCTGTGGGAAATAGTAAGATCTTCCTAGTTAAAAAAAGCATATAAGTCCATGGTGGATCTTCTTGGGAAAAAGATAGGACTGTTCAACTTTTATTATTCTTCCTTCCTAAAATATAGTCTTAGGTTATCATGTAGGCTACATTATACACTGGGGAGACTTCAAAACAACTTGAGCAGGCCATAGGAAACTATAGAGTCATCAGTTTTTGCTAACACCTGAAGGCCAGCTCTGATGGCTCAGTAGCTAGAAAACAACTTTGTGGAGGTGGGAAGGCACCATTCCTTCAGACCTGTGTATTAGAGCTGACTTCACATGTGGAGGAGACAGAAGTTGTTCATAAACTGATTCAGCATTGGCAGATTTTAAGTCTAGGCATGCAAGAGAGTTTTAAAAGCTCTTGGGTTTAGCATTTTCTAAAAAGAAACCGTTTGCTTTATGTTGCAGAACCAATTTTTTTCTTTCTATCCCAAAAAGCCAATTTGCAGAGACTCAGAAAAATAAGCAAAACCGGTTGAGTCCAGTTGCCCCTCGCCATGGCGCCATAGGCTTATGTGGGTTTTATGAGGAGTTTCAGTAAAGGCAGGAAATGCTGTGTACCCAAAACACCAGACTGTTCTTTGGAAAGGGAACCCAGCTGGTGGTGAGGCCCAGTAAGTATCCGTTTCTATTTATATTCCACCAAACAAATAAATCTTGTAAAGTTAGTGGAGATTTAATTTAATATGTAAACAAATGTACCTTTTGAAAAATGACTTTTGCAAACACATGAAACATTCATGATTGTTGAGAATGGAGCAATAATGATAAATAGATGCAAAATGAGAGGATACCAAATCACCTTTAGTATGGTAACTCAACTCTCCTTCCAGAAAAATATCAGGGCCACAGTTATTTATGGCTGCTACAGCTCTTAAACTATGTTCTGCAGTGATTTGTGTGTTTACTGTGATTTTTGCCTGGAGAACTTGTCTTCTGTTTAAAATGAGAATTTGTCTCATTTTAAATGTTACTAATATTTATAAGGTATCTTCTTTTTCTCTCATGCCTATACATATATTTATTCTAAAAGATCTAAGAGGAAACCCAAACATTGTCCCAGTTTGACAGATGTCCTCATCTAGTCCCATACATGTCAAACTTTGCTAAATCCACAGCTCTACTATTCCAAACAAATTGGAGAAAATAATAATTCCAAGATGAATTGACAATCCCAGATGGCTTTACAAACACCTGAAAGGAAATTTAGAGTGAAATAAAAGGGCAGGTATGATGAGAAGATTTTTGTTTAATGATCAAGTCCTCTGTGCGAAGTAAAAAGCCTTTTTAAATGCACCTCACTGGGGAGGTGTGAAAGAAGGCTTTCAGGAGCCTGGCATTCCAGGGGATGCTCTTGAGCTGTCACCTGCTCCGCATTTTCATTTGGGGGACTATGGAGCCCATCGAAATGGCAGATTAAAACATTGAGACTAAGAGATGGGTCTTGGCTATAATTGAGACTATGGAATGACCAATTGGGAAGCACTCTAAAATTCTGAATGTTTTAACTATGGGCAATTTCAGAACTCAAGGAAATGAGCTAAAAGTTTCATAAACATAGCCATCCCACATTCATCTTTTTCAATGACTGTCATGAAGTGCACCTTTAGGGTCAAATAGATGGAGGAGAAGACAGTGGGGCTTGATTCTCTAAGTGTCAAACCAGGATCCAGGTTGATGGCTATGGTACAAGGTAGAGAGGGGCCATACCCAAGGACTGTGAAATGAGATTATTTCCCAAGAAACCAGGATCCCTCTGTGCCACAGTGAGTGATACTCTCAGCTAGAATAGCCTACAGTAAGGGTAGCAAACATTGGCTTGGCCACAGGCAAAGGAGTCTCAGAATTTGGTGATGCAGCTAATTCTAGAATTTCAGGCTCAGAGATGTAGATGAGATGAGGTTTCTGTAACACAGTTCTGTCTCAGGTAGAAATCAGGTGTGTGTCTGAAGAGCCCGTTCCTGCCACCATCCTCATTTGGGCTCCAGAGAGTGGATTTTTAGTGGCTGCTTGCCTACTTTTTTTTTTCTTTTGCCTAGAGGAACAGAATTATGTTTGATATCAGAAAGGAGTTTGTTGAATCGTTGCTTTTATAATTCACTCTCAGTGTCAAATGAGGTCATTCAATTTCTTCTCTGCACATTTGCAATAAGCAGCAGAAAATTCAAGCAAAACAACCAGGAGACAGAGAGAAAGAGAGAGAGAGAGCTGAACAGATAAAGAAGCCTGTTTATTACAAGAAAAGAAGCAGTTTGGGAATCAAAGTCCCATGAAGGTGAAGTATATACATCAAGCAATGGGTAGCTCCACCCACTCAAAGAAAAAAGAGTCACTGGGAATTTTTGTCATGGTCCGAATCACAGTGTAAAACAAATACTTACAAAACTGTCTTTGGAAAAGGGACACAACTTCACATCCTTCCCTGTGAGTGTTATTCATGTGATTTTTCTGGTATTGCCTTTCATTGAATTCATTGTGTTTGGAGTGTTGGGTGAGAAAGTTTCTGAGGACATGTAGGTGGCCAGAAGGTCTTGTACAGTTCTCTTGCAGAGTTCCACTTCTCAGCTCTTCTACTGGTTAGCCAAATTCTAGACTCTTCCACTCTAGTGCTGGGAAGATTGCTGCTAGTCTCCTACCATTTGCAAACCAATTATCTCTTTCCTTGCTTGCCTATGATTTAGTGCTATAAAACTGTCAAACAGTCCAGTATTCATTTTCAAGTTTTCTCCCACCCCCAGACTTATCCCCAGTGGACTTTATCTGGACCCATTGTTAACCCAGTGTGAATTTTGGCTCTAGCTAAGTTAGTTTTGGAAATGACCCCAGTGTACCTGTGATCTCTCTCCTTCTACCCTTCATGATAGATCTACTTTCTTCTGCTCCATCTCCACTGAGGGCCTGGCTCTGACGCCCTAGGCTTTCTCATTTCCCTTGTTCCAGGGTTGGGCTGGAGATAACTTTTTTTTCACAGCATCTCAAATGTCAGAGACAACAAAGATAGCATGTTGGCCAAGAATAACATCTTGTGTTGAATCTTCTCATTCTATGCTGTTTTCCAGATCCTTTTCTTCATTTAGGAAAAGCTACCATTCTTTTTTATTTCTAGTACAGCAAAAGGTTCCTCTAAGATCAGTAATGAGGGCTTCCATTGCAACCTTTTTACAGGATGACAATAAGCTAGGATAATCAGGCCATTATGACATGCCTTCCTGGGCCACAGTTCGATGTCTGGACCCTCTTGTCAGCATGACAGACTAACCAAGCCGGTGGCATTTTCATGATGCTACATTTTGTAGAGGATCAGGACCCAAAAGCAAAGTTGTGCTAAAGGAGAAACTAAACTGCAGTTAAGGAGGAA